TATATATATATATATATATATATGTATATATATATATATATATGTAGCATCGCATCAGTGTATAAACACTATAAAAGGAGACATTTGCTGCTGCTACGCTGACGGATGCTGCTGCTGCTGCTGCAGCAATATGACGCTGCTGCTGCTGCTGCTGCTGCTGTTACTGTTGTTGCTGCTGCTCTTTCTCCATCTGCTGCTGCTGCTATACACTTGTCGCTGCTGTTCCTGCTGCATCTGCTGCTGCTTCTTGTACTATTACTGCTCTTGCTGCTGCTCCTCCTCCTCCCGCTCCTGTTGCTGCTGCTGCTGCTGCTGCTGCTGCTGCTTCTCCTCCTCCTCTCGCTCCTGCTGCTGCTGCTGCTGCTCCTTCTCGTCGCCCCGCTGCTGCTGCTGCTGCTGCTCCTCCTGCCGCTCACATTGCTGCTGCTGCTGCTGCTGCTTCTCCTCATCCCTCTCCCGCAGCAGCAGCAGCAGCAGCAGCAGCAGCAGCTGCTGCTGCTGCTGCTGCTAGTTATTCCCAGTCGCTGTTGTGTTCTGGTTCTGTCTCCGTAGCCTCTCCCCCCCCCATCGCCTGGCGGCGGGCAGCCACCTGCGCGCTGAGGGCCTCAAGCAAACCCCCCCGGGGTGCTGCTGCTGCTGCTGCTGCTGCTGCTGCTGCAGCTGCTGCAGCAGGAAACACAGAAGGAGACAGCAGCAACACACACAAAAGGAGACATGACGTGCTGCTGCTGCAGCGAGAAAAACAAAAGGAGACAGCAGCAACAAAAAAAAGGAGACAGCAGCAACACAGATAAAAGGAAACATGTCGTGCTGCTGCTGCAGCAGCAAACAAAAGGAGACAGCAGCAACACAGACAAAAGGAGACAGCAGCAACACAGACAAAAGGAGACAGCAGCAACACAGACAAAAGGAGACAAGGCGTGCATACAAGGGATAGCAGCAACATAAAAGGAGACAGATGGTGCTGCAGCAGCAACAAACAAAAGGAGACAGACAGCAGCAACAAAGAAAAGGAGACAGCAGCAACAAAGAAAAGGAGACAGCAGCAACGCAACACCCTAAAACAAAAGGAGACAGAAAAAACAAAAGGAGACAAAAGCTGCTGCTGCTGAGGAGACAGAGAAAAGGAGACAGAAAAAAAAACAGAGACAGAGACAAAGATAGAGAGACAGAGAGAGAGACAAAGACACAAACATAAAGCAGCAGCAGCAGCAGCAGCAGCAGCAGCAGCAGCAGC